TCGAATACAATCTCAAACTTCCTGCATGATTAAAAATCGTGTCAGTTTAACAGTATAATCCTCCCGCTATCGATGTATAACCCGAATAACTTATAGTAGTAGTACTTATAGTATTACTACTGATTATCTTCATTCACACTGAATTCTTTCTAGATAATAATATCTAAAACGATTTAGATATGATGAAGTGGTTACAAATCCATAGAAAACTTTGAGAGTCAATACAATGTGTTTCCAAATAACAAAGAAATTATCAAATTATAAAGTATGAATGGGTGTACACTGTACACTGTATAGAGAGGTCCTGAATGAGAGAAATCATCTCACATACCCGCTTCATTGTATAGGATATTCAATTTCTACATGATTATCGTGATGAATTTCTAGAATGGGTCACGATCAATTTTTTTTTCTAGTATGAAGTTGTCGTTATAGTTTCTTATCTTCAATTCATCAAACATTCACACATATATACACACATATCTGCGTAGTTGAACATTGCTCAAAATGACCTTCGATTTCCTTCGATTTGTTATCACAGCTGTTTTCCAACAATTGCAATTTTGGGGCCAATTATGTTGCAATAAAAAAATGTCCATGAAAATAACAATGAACTGCTTAACTCAATGAGCCATATCAGTATAGGTGCTTTACATATTTTCGAATAGTTTTTTTGCCAATTGTATATTGATGAATGTTATTCAATGCAGATTTTATTTGAACTACAAATCTATACGTAGATGTATTTGAGATGAAAAACATTAAATGAAATAGGCATTGAATAAATATAATAACGTCCTTCATTGAATAACGCAGACCCTACAGAAAAAATACTTTTTGTATCAGTTTAAAACAATTTGAATTTGGTTCACACTGTTCGATAGCCCAGTCCTTCAGCTATAATTTCGTACTTCATTGAAACATGAGGGTATTCACATAAAATCTCTACATGGTGTTTTCCGACACTGTGCAAAATTTCGGAATATTCAAAAGGCTCTCAAATGGTGAAAAAATTTTTTTCTCAACTTCGACAATAGGGGCATGAAGATGATCTCATTACCTCGAGATGTTTCGCGAATCAACTTCCTATCTCTCTTATTCACAGAGTGATCTCAAAAAATCAACTAGCCTAAGATTTCTAAAATCGGTTGACGTAGAAAAAAGTTATGGCTGCAAAACCAAAAAGTTGATTTTTTGAGATCACTCTGTAAATAAGAGAGATAGGAAGTTGATTCGCGAAACATCTCGAGGTAATGAGATCATCTTCATGCCTCTATTGTCGAAGTTGAGAAAAAGATTTTTTTCACCATTTGAGAGCCTTTTGAATATTCCGAAATTTTGCACAGTGTCGGAAAACACCATGTAGAGATTTTATGTGAATACCCTTATGTTTCAATGAAGTACGAGATAATAGCTGAAGGACTGGGCTATAGAACAGTGTGAACCAAATTCAAATTGTTCTGAACTGAAAAAAGTTATTCACATTATAACAGGGGCGACATTTTGGTGTGCGACGAAATTAGTGTTGAGTAGTTTAGTTTGCTCTCAGGCACTTTTGATTATTTGGATTAAAACATCACAGGAACAGGTCAGCACCCATGAGAATAATACAGAGGAGTAATACTCCGGTATAAAGTATGCGAGACAGATATCATTTTAAAATTGCATTTTGTAAGGTGGAATAAAATGCTTTATTCATATTTCACGTGCAATCTGAATTTCCACATAAATTACAGAAGTTTTGTTTAAAAATAAGCCTGAATGAGAAACACTTTCGTCGGCGGCAAGAGATAGGTATAGCCAGAATGAGGTTATTTAGAAGAGTAATTTGAATTCGGAAGTAAATGAGAACTCCTAAATATCACTTAGATATACTGAGAAGAGAACTGGAATTGGTTTTTGCTCTCCTCAATCCGATAAGACGCTCGAGAGTTATTTCGAATAATTCTCGAGGAATTAGAAATTCGCTTCTGAGATCCAGCTTATCCAAAATAATTTTCGAACAATTCCTGTACCTCATAATGCTCCAACGATATACAGGGTATGTCACAACGAGCTTATACTATCTCTATATCAAGAATCAGTCATGAAAAATCCATGAAAATATGCATGCTTATATTTCAGAACACGCTCTTTTTATTCAGAATATTTTCAGCGATGCAGTGTTGCCGCTTCTATGAAAAAGTGGCAACAACTTTGTTATTTCAAATAGAATACCCTGTAATTAAGGGAACAAACTCAAAGTCTCGCTCCAAGTAAATTATAATCAAATCATATGTGCTACATGTTTCGACTCCTAGAAGTCATCATCAGGCTAAAATACAACACTTATAAATGAAAGGAGTTCCATCACTATTGGAAAGTGGGTGACATACCTTGCTGGGTAGGAGGAGAAAAGAAACTATAAAATTGACGACATAGTTCGTGAGGGTTTTAGGCCCCAAATAATTTTGAAAAACATTTTTGAATTTTGGTTTTTTGAACCCCCAAATAAACATTTTTCCTAAGATGCTTATCAAATAAACATAGTGTACAGCAAATGGCGCGAGTATGAAGTAAACAAACCGACAGACTACTTGATTTGAAAGATAAAAATGGTAGATAACAATTATTTTTCGACAAACAAGTGACAAATGTCATCTATCAAAAACACAAATCATTGAAGTTGACTTAAAGGGCCATACATCAAAGTTCATAACAAACACGAAAATGTGTCTAGATTGACTAAGTCGGGTATTTAAAATTGTGTTTTTTGAATCAGGAATAACAACGTTAAACAAAAGGATTGCCAATGCAACCAATGAATGGAGAGGAAGATTACAAAATGGAATTGAAGGTGGATAGGCAATCAAATCTAACTTGTTCATTAAGACAAACAGTTGACTTAGAATGGGCAGATCTATTGATTTCTGAAATTTCCAGAAGGTTGAGCTTTTTTCCTTCAAGATGAACATGTAGGACTTCAAAATCGTCTCATATATTATGTTTGTGTTTATTCCCGAGAACATGGTTTGCGAAAGAAGATGTAGTGTCTTTATTATCTCATCACCTCCAATTTGAGCATGGACTACTACCAGAGATTCAGAATACCCTGTATCTCATTGCATTTTTAGATTCTCCCTGAAGCGCTGATTTCATCGATACATCATACTTGGGGTCTATCGAGAATAATTAGAGAGATATAGGGTGTTCAAAATCGAAAATTTTCAACTTTAGGATTCGTTCGTTCGTGTCTGAACTATTCATTATCGGCCAAAACAGCTCACATGTCCCTATCTCAACTTTTGATATACTATTAACTGATAATTAATCGGAACAGATACAGGGTGATCAGGATTCTGGATCTTGAACCACCCTATATCTGTTCCGATTAAATATCAGTAAATAGTGAATCAAAATTTGAGATAGGCACATGTGAGCATGATGAATAGTTTCGAAACAAAAAAATCTTGAAGTTGAAAATTCCCGATTTTGAACAAGCTATATCTCTGTAATCATTTTCGATAGACCACAAGTGTGGTAATATGGAATAGTGATGAAATACAGGGTGTTCCTTATGAAATATCGATGTCGCTACTACTTTCCAATAGAAAAGGCAACACTGCATTGTCAAAAATATTCGAAATGAAGAGAGCGTATTTTAAAATATAGGTATGCACATTCTATAATGGATTTCTCCCAACTGATTCTCGATATAAATATAGTAGTGTAAGCTGGTCCTGACATACCCTGTATAAAGTGAATATTAATAATTGTTGCATGAAAATTGAGCGTTACTGAGCTGTGTGCGCGTGTGGGTATGCAAATAATTGTATGAAATGTTGTATTTCGTGCAAAATCACTTATTCAATTTTTCATAGCAGAGTGCTTTCGACTATATACACTCATCATCAGTGCGCAGGTACCTGTGAGTAATCAACTTTTAGCTATCTCTTTTTCTCCTACCTTAATGGCCATGGACATTAGTCCTTCAGCCACACACAATTTAAATTTTTCGTTTATATTTCAATATTGTTTTTTGTTATGAATTTGACCAATATGTCAAAAATGTTTTTGTCCCCTGTAGTAAGCAATACGTTTACTGTTGTCGGTAGCTGAGCCTCGACCTTCACAAGATCTTCAAAGAGATCACTTCTAGGAAATTTTCTGCAGCTAAAAAGTATATGATTTAGATCCGCAATTTCATTATCTATGTTACATAAGGGAGAATCTATCACCCCTATTTTATTCAGATGATATGGAAAACATCCATGATTTGTTTTCAATCTCGTCATAATAGTACAGTACGTTTTATTTGCTTCATGATCGTAAATATAATTTATTTTATTAGGCAGTTCTTTATGTATCCTAAAATATGAGCCATTTGAATTTTCTGTTATTTCTCTCCTGTAATTGCCCCACTCAATATAAATATTGTTTTTGAATTAGTGAAATAGATCTTATACTTTTAGCTATTGAAAAAGACATATAGAAATCGAGAATCTGTCAAATTCCAAATTTGAAAATAAGTAAATGTGAGGTTACATACTTGTCAGGTTGACAAGTAAATCATCCATGAAAATATCTTTGGTCCTGCTACTGGGTATACATATAGACATATGGGACTGTACGAATTAGTTTCGTGTTACCTACCTAGAAAAGTATTTTCCTGGATTGAGACGCTCTTATAAATTTTAACAGACCAGTAGCCAGTAGTGTGATATATTGGATTCTGAGTGAAAAATATAATGTAGTGTTCTTGAACTCCCGCTTGGCTTGGTTCGACTCAGAAAAGCGAGTCAATACAACGCCGAAGATATCGTCTTGAGATTAGGAGGAAAATTCCAATGAAATTCAGCTAACACTCCCACTTCATTTCCGGGGTACGTGTATAGTATAGTATACTCTCAGATGTTGGTAACGGTTCAAATAACCTCTCATATCTTTGGTCCTTATGATCATTATTTCACTGTCTACTGTACAATAATTTTAATAATAATGATGAGTTTGAAATATATATATATATATATACCAAGTTGTCACTTGAGACTGTATATTTCAACCTAGAATAATTGTTTGATACATTTTTTGATTTATAGTGAATCTTCCGAATACGTGAATTGTCAGAATATCTTCAAACTATGGCTCTTTCGGGAAAATATCCGAATATGGCAGATAATCAGACTTGATGGTTTCAGCAGCTTTTTCTGCGATCATAATGATTGTTCCGACAGGATGACCACTCATACTAGTTGGAAAAATACTTGAATCTGCGACTCTCAACTTCCTCACCCCAAACACCCTGAGACGAGAGTCCACAATCGCCCCTTCACTCGGATCTGCACCCATAGGACACGAACCTCTGACATGGAAGGCAGCTGTACAGGTTTGCCTCAGGAAACAGTACCAGTATTCCCTGAACAAGAACTGATAATCCTCACAGCCAGGCAAAGGTCTGCCTCTGTACTCAGGGTTGATACTCTGGAACGATGGCGTTTGTAGCAATTCCAAAACCCGATTGACACCTTCGTACAGCACTGCCATATCATGACCTTCTGGATCGGACATCATATTGAAATCGATCAGAGGGTAGTCGAAGGGATCGGCACTATTCAATCTGACAGTACCACTTGATCTTGGATTGACGTTATGAATGTTTATAGCTATGACGTTAGTGCTGTTGCCCCATGCAGCCTCATAAGTTTCATTCCTCCAACCAGCGTATCTCACATCGAATGCTGATTTTTGCAGGGAAGCTGCTATGAATTCTATATCGGCATAGTTTTCTTCTTCGAACTGTGATTTTTGGAATGCCACCCCTGAGGTTGAGTATGCTTGAGTTAGACTACCTTCACCCTTTAGAAACTGTTGCAGCCTTTCTTCGAGCGTTTCTACTGGCTTAGTGATATTTGTTGATATGTACATGGCTTGGCATATCGGATCTTCCTTTAGTTGACTGCCCACTTCCAGATCCTCTATGACATGTATTCCCATATCTTGAAGGTGTTCTTTTGGGCCAATTCCAGAGAGCATCAAGATTTGAGGAGTCTGAAATACTCCTGCTGTTAGAATAACCTCTTTCTTAACATTGACCCTATAAGTTTTACCATGTCTTGTGAATATAACACCTTTTGCTTTCTTCGATAGTTTTTGTACCTCTATTTTGGTCACATAGCTCTCAGTCATGATATCAAGATTGCGTCTACGCAAGAATGGCTTGAGAAAGGCGTCGTAGACACTTTGCCGTCTCCCGTTTTTGGTGAAAAGCTGGAATATTGAGGCGCCAAGCTGGGATTGACCATTATAGTCGATGATATCAGTACCCAGCTCTCTATGTCCTTGTAGGAATAATGTCGTCATAAAGTCCTCGGGGATTTTCTGCTCCACGTTGAGGTAACCACCTCTACCATGGTATTCCCATTCCACTGGTGTATTCGGGTTTCTGAGGTGGAAATTTTCTGACTTCTTGAATAACCGTAAAACGTTGTCGTATGACCAGGTGGGATCGTTCGTGATATCTGCCCATTCATCAAAGGTCGATGGCATTCCTCTCTCATATACAGCGCCGTTCATCAAAGAGGTACCGCCCATACCTCTCGCTCGAAAAGCACGACAGGACTGGTTGACGAAACCTGGAAGTAATGAATTGTTATTTTCCAGAAAGATGTCAGGATAGTGGAAATATCACATCTGAGCGTTTACAGAATGCTTTGATTGCTTTGAAAAATAACCTGAAGACATGAGAAAGCATATGGCGGCTGTTACTAACTGCTGTTGTTACTATGATAACTGGCCAAGTAAACTTGACAAAGAAGAAATGTTCCTATTTGATTTAGTTTCCCATTCATCGATATGTTTGTTTTATTGTCATTTATGTTATCAATTCATATTTTTGTATATTTTTCTTACTACATGAATGTTTCCTCTTTTCTTGATCCGATCTTTGTGAAAATGGAACACATTTTCGATCATATATTTTTATTTTTTGTTATTATTTTAGTCAGTCATGCTTGTAGGAGATGCAGCAATACATTTTACGTTTCCACAAGGCAGTTTTGATGATATTAATTGAAAAATAAAATAAGTTATAGGACATATTAGTATTACCGACAGCTAACCAATTTAAGACCTACCCTTAGAGTTTTTATCATCCAAAAGAAATTAATAAGACTCACTCGTGTTTGATCTGGACTATAGAGAATCCTGTAGAAGCACATTCATCAATAACGGAATCTTCACATTCACCTCTATATATTCCATAAATCATTAATATTCACCTTCAATAATATGGAAAAGCTGAACAAAAATATAAAGATACACGGATACAATACTAGAGAAAGAAATGATCTTCGTTTGCATTTTCCACTCAGAATGCAGCACAGGAAATTCCCACTTTATGCTGAAGGCTATTTGTTCAATCTGCAAACAGAGAACATAAAATCTATTCGATGTCCAAAGACATTCAAGGTACAGTTGAAACAATTTCTGCTCCACCATGCATTCAACTCCTTAGATGAGTACTGTGAGATCAAATCTCAAGATTTCTAAAACTCTGTCTTTCGTACTCTGTCCTCTAAGAGTTTCAAATTTTAATTAATTCATCTATCAAGACTGTCTTGCGAAAGTGTTATATTTATCCTGTATTTGGTGAGGAAATAAGGCTCACTGGATTTCCCATCCATTTTCAACATACTATAATCGGATTTTTCTCCAAGCAGCATGAAAAGTGGCCCCTCTCTTAATACTTCACAGGCAGAAAAGGTGTACTTTCTTTGTCTAGGTATAGTGGAGTAAAATCCACCGAAAAAGTCGTTCCGTTCTCGAAAAAAATTTTTTCAAGGTATAACCAGTTCCGACCTTCAAAATATAATCAAGTACATATTTTTCTACCAGAATATCATTGGACGACATTTTTGAGTGGGGACGAACTTTTTTATTTAGAAAAAACTGAAAAAAAAAAGAATTTTCTAAAACACGGATTTTGAAATATATCTCCTCGTAACTCTAAAACTACAATAGGTATGGAGATCATTTTTTTTTTAATAGAAAACGTATTATTTTCTGCTTCTCACAATGGTATGATTACAGTATAAATTATCTTCAGTTTTTTGTAAATTGATTGAGAACGCCAGATATCACTTTTCATGTTATATTTTTTTCAACAATCGACAAACTTTTTTCTTGTTGATTTTATTTGTATATATGCAGCGAATGAAATGTTGACAAATAGTCATGGAAGTTTTTGAACTAACAGGAATCTGTATATGTAGTATAGTTTTCGAAATATGATTTTTCAAAGATGTAGGTACGCGTGGCATGAATATGCCTGTCGCGACAAGATCGTGTTGGCGCACTATAGAGCGTAGTTATAGGTTGTAGGGCAGTATGCAACAATCTGTTGAAGATGCAGTGTGTCATTTGCGAAAAGAGTGTATCATATAATGATAAAAATATTACGAAAAATCCACGGATACAAGGCCTGCTCTCGTTATTATCAGCAGCGGAAAGAAGGAATGATATTTGTGGATCCCGCATTCTTATGCGAAGAGAGCTGATTCTGTCTGGGAAAGAAAAAATTATTTACCATAATGAATGCAGAAAAAGTTACACCAGCATGCACAATATTCAAATATTGCCGAATTTCACTGGTTGTCAGAAAAATATAGAAGCGGGACCATCAACTCGAAATGCAAATGTCATTTTTGATATTGGAAGAATGTGTATCATTTGTGATAGGGGCGGAAAAAGGAAACATCAGAAATTAGTATCTGTTCAAACAGGTATGTGAAAATGTTTTCGAATTATTCGAAAATATTTCATTGAGATTTCAATATCATTGAAGAGTTAAAGAATAAGGATAATAATATATCATTATTCAATAATATTATATTTTTTTAACAATCTCGAAATAATTTTCATTTGAAATGAACGAACTTTAGAAATCTCATTATTCATTTGTCATCAAAAAAAGCATACTATGAGTAGAATATCAATTATTATGAACTGATCTGAATGTCAATCATGCGGGAAATGATTTCGTGACGATTTGATATAAATAGGACATTTTTTATTTTTAAATTATAATGTGTAGAAATATTCAAAGCCAAAATTACGAATTAGGATGAATACAAATTTTAATTAATGTTATTGAATTATAGGAACTGGAAAGAAAACTTTTGATAAAATAGTTGATTCAGCAAAGAAACGGAACGATATAAATATGATTGGGAAAATTTCTGGTTATGAAGATTTATTTGCTCATGATGCAAAGTATCACAAGTCTTGTTACAGTCAATATATTTCCCCAAGGAATATTAAATCATTTTTAAATCAGTCGAAAGAAAAAGAAAATCATCAATTATATCACCATGACAGTCAAGAAAATAGTAAAGAAAATTTCGCAGAACAATTTAGGTCGTCAGGATCCAGTAGCTCCGAAGAAGAATCCGAATTTTTCAACGAATCAAACGTAGAATCCGAAATGCAAATTCTTCATAAAGCTGCAGGAATAATAAAAAAACACATGGCAGAATTTCCGATACCAAACACATTTCCAAGGCCTACTGATATGAACAGTTCTATGTTCGCAAATCAAGTCCCAAAACTATTATTAACTTTCATGTCGTGGATACTTGATGAATCATCTTATTTGAGTGCTAATAATGAACCAACTCCTGAAGCAAATATTATCGGTAATATCATTATGGGACTTTATAATGCAAATTTCAAAATGAATCACTTTCACACTGGACTAGGACTACATATTTATCATACAGTACGCAGTAAGCAACTTCTTGATACATTATCAAAAATTGGATTAACCTGTTCGTACAATAATATCAGGCAGATATCTACAACTTTAGCAAAAGACGCCATGAGTGAAGAAAAATCAGTTTTTATACCTTCAGGAATTGTTGAAGTTATCGAATCTAAGGGCAATTATATTCATGCCAGTATAGATAACTTCGATTTGAATGAAGAGACAATTGACGGTAAAGGTACAACCCATTCTATGGCAATGGTAGTATTTCAGCAGCCTGGTGATTCTCTATCATCTCACACCGAGATTCACAAAAGTAAAGGGTACTCATTGAGTACTGAAGATGTTGAATCAGTTACTCAAAGTTTGACTAGATACAGAAAACCTCCAATTCGACCCGAGCCAGTCAAATTTGTACCGTCAGTTGAAGTAAATCGCGAAAATTATGATTTTTCAAAGAAAACCAATTTGGTATGGAGAGTTTTGCGATATATAAATCAAGAATCTCCATTCCTGAGCTGGACAGATTACAATAATGTGATATCCAAAAATAAGATAACAGTTTCAAATATTGCATATTTACCATTTTTAAATGCTCCACCAACAGAATATGATACTATTTATACAGCAATGATTCAGTTGGTACAATTAGCAGAGGCTCTGAATCAAAAACATATAGTTATCACAGCAGATTTAGCAATATACTCCAAAGCTAGAGAAATAATGTGGAATAAACCTACTTTGTTGGATGGGAAAGTTACATTACAATTGGGCGGTATGCATCTTACCATGGCTCTTATTGCTAGTATTGGATACATTTTTGGTGACGGCGGTCTCAGTTCAATGTTAGTTGAAACTGGAATTTATGCAGAAAATTCCTGTAAATTGATGTTGGATGGCAAGCAATATGCCAGGTCTATTCGAGGACTTACCCTTGCCACAGATGCTTTATCGAGGTTATTATTCAACTCTTTTTTGAGTTGGTATGAAGAATCCAATGATGGTACTATTCTGACCAAGGATTTGGAGCAGATAATGAAAACAGTAAATCAAGAGTTGAAAGAATTTATTTTCAATGAAACCAATTTCAAGATAATGTTGAAGGATATAGAAGAATTCGAAACGGCTCTGACGAATTTTCTTGCCATTGGTTTCTCTTCTGCAACATTTAAGTATTGGTATTCTTTTATCGAAGCAGTAGATCTCCTTTGGAAAATGTTGCGGGCTGAAAGAGATGGAGACTTTGATTCTCATCTATGTTCTGTTTTCGATTCGCTGCCATATTTAACAGCAGCTGGTCGTAACCTTTATTCAAAATGGGTTCCTGTATATTTGAATGACATGAAGATGCTCAAGACTGAAGTTCCATATATGTATCATTTCTTGGAAAAAGGCAATTTCGTTGTGAAAAAAACAAAGGAGAAGATATTCAATTGCGTTGCATCTGATATGGCTTTAGAACAGTCAATCAATCGTGATTGTAAAAGTTCTACGGGGGTTATAGGATTTTCGAGAAAACCAGCGGCCCTTCTTCGCTGGCTAGTCACTAGACATTCACTAGGAGATTTTTCACAGAAATTTGTAGGTAAGTATACGTATATGATCAATTTTATTGTTCATTCATTCTTGTAATCGAATTCCAGAAGCGACAATGGGTGACAATAGTAAAGTAAGAAAAGATGGCCAGATAATGAGTAATAGGAATGAAGCTGATGTGAAGAAAATAATGTCAACTATAGAAGAAAGCTGGTGTAATCCATTTTGTTTGCGAAGTGCCCCGCTATCGTTGATCAATATATGCACTGGAAAAATTGTAGACGAATCAATAGAGAAAAATTTGACGACTTTTCTAGATACATCAATGAAAAAAATACAAACTCAGTGGAACAATTTTCAAAACGTCAGTTTTTGGAAACCGCTCAAAAGGGACAAAATTGCAACTTTCAAGGAAACCAAAATTGTAGCGAGAATGGCTTCCAAAGGATCTTGTATCGGTTCAGAACTCATGTTTCGTAGAGTGATTTGTGCTGCGCGTTCACAAGACATGGATCTTTCCAATATTTTATCTTATGAACTTACATCGGTACCAGCATCTTTGTTCAATGAGGATGGTTCAGTGAGAAAAACAGTGAAATCCGAATTAGCCAAACAATTGGAATCATTCACGGAATCTCATGTTGAATGTGAAAATCTGGATTCTGTTATAATAGACGGTATGGTTTCTGTCCAAGAACTGAAAGAAACGATGTTTATTACATTCAACGATATGGGAAAACTATTTTTGAGTACAATTATGGCAATAGGAAGGAAACATAAAGCTTACAGAATGACTATAGTTTTCGATAATTATGAATCTGGAAGTTTGAAAGATCAGGAACGTAATCGACGGGGAGATAATAAACAAATTATAGAATTCAGTATAAGTGGTGCTAGGAAAGTACCAAAATTCCGGGAATTTTTGAAATCGTCTAAAAACAAACGACGTCTATTGATATTCCTCACGAATTACATAGCAGAAAATGGAGCAAAGTATCTGCATGATGAGGAAATTATAATCATTGCGGGGGGTTTCCAGAATCCAGAAGAAGTTATTTCAATAACGAAAAGTAGGTGTGAACCTATGAATCATCTATTTAGCAATCATGATGAGGCCGATACCCGATTATTGTTGCATATTTTGGAGGAATGTAAATTTTGTGAAACGATTATGATCAAATCTGTAGACACCGATGTGTTGGTTCTACTACTTCATCATTTCAATACGAGTTCTGATTTGAGAGATCGCAACATATTAATTCAACTTGGACATAGTACAAACAAACGGTTTGTGTCAATAAACGAAATTGCCAGGAAATTGGGGAATTCCATTTGTAGCTGCTTACTAGCAATTCATTCCTTAACTGGTTGTGATACGACCAATAGTATCTACAAAATAGGAAAAAAAACGGCCTTTGATATCTTGAGGAAGAATATTGCAAGTTTGGTTGACTTATCGAAGCTTCCTTATCTACCTCATGAGGAAGCTTTGGCCGTATCTTTGAAGTATATGCTCCTCTTATATAGAAATAAAAATGATACTATCAAAACATTGAATGATTTACGTTATCACTTAACGATACATACCAATCGGCCTTCAAAAGAGCTACCCCCCACAGATGATGCTTTCCAGCAACACTTACTAAGGTTTGTGATAAGTTTTATTTCTTATTATTTCATTTCATTGAATCAATCAATTATTTCTAGATGTATATATCAATTGAAAATATGGTATTCATCCCTTTTACCATATATCCCTACTGAAAATCCGGAAAATTTTGGTTGGAAACACGAAAACGATTGTTGGAACCCCGTTTTTACTAAGCAGGAACCTATTCCAAATTCTGTGAGAAAAATTCTGGCCATTCATTGTGCCGATAAAAACTGCACAAATAATAAGTGTATATGCATGAAAGAAGGGTTGAAATGTTCTAGTGAATGTAAATGTAGAGACTGCCAAAATACATTCAGGGATCCAGTTGAGCCAGAATCAGGAAATGAAGAAGAATACTGAAATGAATATTATTTTTTGTTTGATAGTTTGGTTTAAACTCGATTATATTTTATAACTTATGAATTCGTTTCCATTTTGAAGAATATGAAATGCAGTATTATTTTCCTCTATACTTGCATCATTGACATTGAAACCATCATAAGAACAATAATTTCTCAACATAACATTGTGCACTGATGGAGCGGGTATTGGGAGTGAGCACTGGTATTGCGCTGAGCGCGAACAGTTACCGGAGGCGCGGAACTAGCATGTTTTAAAAAAATCATATCGTCAAAACTATTTCATATGTATCGAATTTTTTTGATCTAAAAACTTTTTCGACTCATTATCTCAATTTTCTTCGCTGATTGTATATAAAGAATTCGAATAATAAAAAAGTTTTTCGATCAGTGAAAATTTCATCTCACGGTTTTCACTATTTTATATTCTCAACTTATTCAGAAAAAAATCCGATTTCATTACATAATTCTAGTGGCATGATGAGAAGCGCTAGATTATCTCCTTTCGATCAAACGAAAAAGCAAATCAATATCTTGAGTAGTTCTCGAAATAATGAATAATATGTTTAGAAAAACACGATTTTCGAATAATCAACTTTTTTCGTATTTTTTTGAATAAAAAAGTTCGTCCCCACAGAAAAATGTCGTCTAGCTGGACTATGATAGGAAATCACATAAGGAACATTACCTAATAGGTCCGATTTGGTTATACCTCGAAAAAAAAAAACGACACATTTTATCTCCGATTTTACTCCTCTAGTAGGAAAAGTTGTTGCTATGCAAAGTTCCAAGTAATTTGAATGAAATTGGTAATCAACATTGACACTGACATTGGGTGAACACAAAATGATGGAAATTTCAATAAAAAAATACATAAAATTGGTTTTATTGCTCGCTACGCTCGGCTATAAACTATCAGCTGCAGCGGTTATTCCACTACTTTGCTGTCTAGTAAATCAAATAACTAGATATTATCGCGCCCAGGAAACGCCCGGGCGCATTTAATTGAAATGCTGAGCGTAAATGGAAGAGCAAGGGGTTAACCCATTTCTGAGAAGAATATAGGTAATAGAGGTTCCAAAAATATAATAAAATATGTTCATGAACGTTTGAGGTTACTCATGAGTTGTATTATTTCCGAAAATGAAATTTCTTGAAAAATGAATAAATTGGGGCTGATGAGCCCGTTCTTCTCTGATTGCAATAATTTCATGAATTTATTTTCGTAATATCCCGATAGAAATTCTGGAAGATATTTCACTGAATCGAAATGTAGTAAAACCACTACAAATATAATTGAGTATTCGCCATATCTTATAAACAAATTGTTTTCCTAATTCTGGCCAGCCAGTGAAACACAACCGCCATTCTGTGTAACTGCCATTTTTCCAGATGCCATCCTTTCTTAGTACTACTATATAAACCGATTCGATTAACAACATGTAGAGTACTATTCGAAAATATCGCAAATAAATTAGGCATTATAATTGATAGGTATTACCTAGACAGGCAGTTGTTTGTGGAACACTTCTGAAGCCCCAACTCAGGTCAGATAGTGCTAGAAAAGCCGTGTAACCCAACATTTCATTGAATTCGCTGGTCACCACTTGACCTGCTTCCAGTACAAGGATACTCCACTTTTTGATTTCAGATAATCGACTGGCGATAACGGATCCAGCAACACCACCTCCAATTATCACGAAATCATAAGAGTCAATGTCTGCAAGAATAAAAATATTACAGTATATTCAGTACAAGATATCTTAGATAAACTCAAAACTGTGATAATCGATAGAAAATTTTAAATAAGTATTTTATATAAGTATTCTTTATAAGTATTCTTCGGATGTGACATGGTGTTTATACAAGATCAGAGTTTATACAAGTTTACTTCTTCTATACATTCAAATTTTCATTTCAATACTGAACATATTGGTAAGTTATATTTTTTTATCATGATATATCATATTATTTCATCCGATTTGTAAATTCACAATTTTAGAGGATTTTCATTTTTCATGCTCTCCTTCCGGATGTTCAACATATACAGGGTGTCTGTAATAGGTCTTTACAAAAACATACCACATATTCCTTAGACCAAAATAAGTCGATTTAAGTAAAATTACCTCAGTACAAAGTTGCATTGTTATTTGAGCTCCAGAGGGACTTGAAGGTACAATTTTCAAATCGTTTTTCCCATATAAATTTAAAACAGCATATGCGATTTCGCTGAAATTTGGTATATTGATAGAGTTTCATGTAGCAATAAAAATGGTGTTAAAATTTTGACCGATAATAATACATAAGCGTAAGACTTGATTTTTTAAATAATTGCACCTTTAAAAATTCTACGCCAATGAAAGAAAAGGAGTTTGAGTATGAAATTTAGATTGCGCAATTCATTTACTTTATAAAAGGTTCTCTTGATAAGACTCGATTGCTCGCATGGTTTTGACGAAATTTTCATTTTAGTAATTTCAGAACATAAACAATAATTATTAAAATACAAACTTTGTTGAAACCATGAGAGTAAATCGAGTGTTATCAAGGGTACTTTTTTGTAGTAAATGAGTACCCAATCCAAATTTCATACTCAAGCCCTTTTTCTGCCATTGGCGTAGAATTTTTAAAGGTGCAATTATTTAAAATATCAAGTTCTACGCCTATGACAGAAAAAGGGTTTGTGTATGAAATTTTGATTGGGTACTCATTCACTACAAAAAAGTACCCTCGATAACACTCGATTTACTCTTACGGTCCTGACAAAGTTTGTATTTTCATAGGTTATTGTTTATGTTCTAAAATTACTAAAATGCATATTTCGTCAAAACCATGAGAGCAATCGAGTCTTATCAAGAGTACCTTCTTCAAAGTGAATGAGTTGCGCAAACTAAATTTCATACCCAAACTCCTTTTCTTCCATTGGCGTAGAATTTTTAAAGGTGCAATTATTTAAAAAATCAAGTTCTACGCCTATGTATAATTATCCGACAAAATTTTAACACCATTTTTTTTGCCTCATAAAACTCTATCAAGAAACCAAATTCCAGCAAAATCGCATATGCCGTTTAAAATTTATATGGGAAAAACAATTTGAAAATGGTAACTTCAAGGCCCTCTGGAGCCCAAACGATGCAGCTTTGTTTTAAAGTAATTTTACCTAAATCGACTTATTTTGGTCTGAGGAATATGTGGTATGTTTTTGAAGAGACCTTTCACAGACACCCTGTATAATTCAATGTTCGACGTGGCAAATAGCCAGGAAAGTAGTTGTTTCCATGTTGAATATTCTGAATAATATTATGTGCATATAGATATTTTTATATGAAGGAGAATGCAAATTCTCAACTTCAGAAGACTTTGTTTTCAAATTATCATCGTGTGTGTTCAATAGATATAATTCAATGTTCCTCGTGGTATATGGCCAGGAAAGTAGTGGTTTTCTGTTGAATAAACTGAGGAAGAATTGATATTTCTATCACATAGAGACTGCAAATTCTCAATGTATTTCTGCATGTCTATATCCATTTTTTCATGTTTATAATGTTATCTGAGAATGTTCCTTCTCAATACTTTCCCTCAATCAAAGGGTTCAAACTTGAACGATTGAAACTTGTTATTTTTGAAGACCTTCAATCGCAAATTCCTGAAGAGGTTCTCTCAATTTCAATTTTTTTTCCACGTCTTGTATGATGAATATGAATTTGTCATACATTCAAAAATTGATGTTGTTAAAATCCTAAGGAATCAAAGAATTTTTCGCAGTCAACTGTTCTTTGAGGGAGTTAATTTTTTCATCTCTGAGAGCTAAATTGATTTCAAAAATTTTTAACAGATTGAGCAAGTAACTGCACTTTCTGAATTTCACATAACCGTCAGGAAAGATAGTTACTCAATATTTCAAACATTTTTGAAATCAAGTTAGCTCTCAAATATCCAACTGATGACTTCCTCGATGAACAGACACACTTGGACCACCATGTTTCTTGATTCTGCGTGGTTTTATATTTTAACAAACTTTCTGGGGAAGTGAATTGACAACCAGGCAAACGCTTACTCTCGATTCATTGAGCAGATAAGAAGCATTATTCACTTCACATCAATCACAAATTATCTTTGGAGATTATGAAAGTTGATGTTCAAGTACAGTTCTCACTCATTATTCCAAATTTTTAGGGATTTTCTCTCCTCGTTTCTATAAAATACAAATAATATGGATATTATTTCAACATACGTGTAGTAAGGACAAATCAGATGATTTGCCCCAAAATGTCACTGCGTTTGAAGAAATTTCGTATCAGAGAGCCTGAAAGAAGAATTCACTAGCTTGTCAGTGACAATTTGTATTGAAAAAAGTTTGGAGAAGAGAAATAAAGGTATATAGAAAAAATATCAAATTTTCACTTATCTTCGGACGTTTCGAGACCGATTCTGCTCCCGTTTTCAACATAAGAAAAGATTATTTCAATAGCGAAGTCGTATCTGTCTTGAAGCTTTTCAGTTTTCATTGACAATTGGTGACGTTGGCAATCAAATGAGTTACAGGATGTTTTCATTAATTTATCTTGAATTTACCATTTTCATGTTCAGATTTCAGTAGTGACTATCATGTTCTGTCAAGAAGCAATGCTATTGTCTCCGTTCAGAAGAATGCAAGCAGATTCCTTGATTTTACTCTTCTGGTTGTTGTCTTCTTTTCCAATGATTTTTATATTATTCCACTCTGCCATATGTTGTCCGTCTTCAGTAAGGATATGTTCAGCTAGTTTAGATTTATCGATGTGTCTTTTCTTCATATTGTACTTATGTTCCTTCGTCCTTACTGAAAGAGGTCTCTTGGTTTCACCTGTATAAAACTTCCCACGAACACATACTGTAAATACAATTTTTTGACGGTTGTTCTTCATTTTTCGGCTGAGTTAGAATTGATCTCATTGTATTTTCAGTTTCGAACACAGTTTTCACTTGAAATTCATCACCAACACGTTTTATTTTTTTAGATATTCCGGGAATGTGAGTATTATATTTGTCGTTATTGATGGTTGATTCTGTTGTGGTTGACCCTGTTTGTTTTCAATTTGATGAATCGTCCTATCGACAAAATTCTTTGGATAGGAATGGAGTTGGAGAACATTTTTAATTATTAATGTGGTGGACTTCGTTATTGAGAATTTGTTGATCAGATTATATTGATTTGGCTCTATCATGGGGTGATTTGATTATTCCTTTCTTAATACTCTTCAGATGATTTGATTGAAAGTTCAAGTATCTGTTAGTATGGGTCTTTTTAAGATATACACTTGTTACAAAGATGTTATTTGATTTTTGGTAATTTTGATGATGTTGTCTTCAGAATTCTCCATAAATATATTGCTTAAAATTGGAGATAATGGCGATCCCATGGACATTCCAAAGTTTTGTTGATGAAGCTCATCATCCAATTGAAAATATGTTGTTTTTAGACACAATTCCAAAAATTCCATTATTCCTTCGATACTTAGATTAGTTCTTTCAGTGAGACTTCCATCGTCTCCTAATTTATGTTTCACTATTTGTAAAGTTTTATGTATTGATATTTTATCAATACACCTTTATTTCTCTTTTCCAAACTTTTATCAATACAAATTGTCACTGACAAGCTGGTGAATTTTTCTTTTAGGCTCTCTGATAGGAAAATTCTTTAAACGCAGTGACATTTTTGGGCAAATCATCTGATTTGTCCTTAATACACGTATATTGAAATGATATCCATATTTTTATTTTATAGAAACGAGGAGAGAAAATCGCAAAAAATTTGGAATAATGAATATACCACCTCCTCGATTAACCTACCGACAGTATTTAACAGTTCTCACTGATTCAATGCATGAAAGTGCAATACCTTTGATTCGATTATCCTTCGCTTGAAACATTCTAGCATTTGTGGGAAATTCATAAGAGTTTGCCTCTATAGTTGCAGCTTCAATCAATCTCTCCAGTTCTTCCACAGTGGCACATTTCACTTCTCCAACTTTCAACGACTCAAAGATGAAAATAGCGAAAACTACTTTGATTATCGTCATATTCCTTTCAGTGGAATGGATACCAACTAACTAGTACGATATAACGAATGTTAGCGAAATATATATCTCTATCACTTCAATAATTGTAAATTTTCAGCTATCTGAAATTATGTTCAGTTATTAGTAGATATCTCCAATAATCTTTCGAATGACAATTTAATTAGTGCAATTATTGTTTTTCTTGTGAAATAATTTTATACACAAAGTTACAATAATTGAAAAACAGTTTTCAAAATGTCTCGGTGCCATCACAGAGATGCACATGTTTCGAGATTTGGATTATCTAGATTTTAGAGGATTATCAATAAATCGTTCCACGACTTTTTATGACTGAGCTTATGTATCAAATAAAATATCATAGTTTGAATGATGATTCGATGATAGTTATTTGTTCGATATCCGAATGTACTGTAGGTTCGCGAAGTATATATATTAGTTCTATAGAATATAGGTAGTAACTGCCTTTCCTTATCCGTTACAAAACTCACAAACAGTATGATTTGCTCGACCTAAGAAAAATCAAGTTTTATAAACTCAATTCAGATTTTCAAGGCCTAATAAGAAATATACTGTGATCATTTTTGACGTCAAAAACGCTTACATTTCAGGGACTTCTCTTTTCAATTTTGATTTTACTCACCACTAGATCCAGAAGACCTGCAAAACAATATACAGCACTCATGAAGAATCATTGGAAAAATCATAATTATATCAATTAATCTAGTGTAGAAGTCCACATATATTAATTATTGAAATGCACTATTCGTTTGAAATGTCCATTGAGCTTTCAGCGAGTTCTGAGTTCTGTGTATAATTTAATTATGTATACTTATATCTATTAACTCCATTCTGATGGTTTGGTGATCGTCTTGAGGTTAGAGTTTCAAACTCCTGAACAGGGATAACCATGCAAAATAGTGGAAAGGTATAAGACTGTGAGTGTGATATTGTTTCAAAGAATCTTGCAGCGACAGAAATCTGCTTTCAATATACCATCTTGACCGCATTCAACTGTTTCAGTCTGGAACAGAAAAATCTTCACTACCTAACCAACCTGGGTACTTGACCAACTCTCAACGGTTTATAATATACTGACAAGTTTTTTTTTCAATGTCTCACCAAGTCACCTTAGTATTCGTGATGATAATTCCTTTACGTATGTATATGTAATGAAAAATAATATATGTTCCATTAAAAAAATACTTTTGTTATGTTATTTTTACTACTTCAGACTTGAACGATGGATATTTGTTATTTCTACAATCCTATAATCACAGAGTCGTGCTTGGGTTTTCTCAATTCAGAATTTCTTTCCTTGTCCCGTATGATGAACATTCGTTCATTATACATCTGAACAAAAGCTTTTCCCTTTGTGAGATTGATTGATATATAGATAGTTTACTGATATGTTATACTGATTACAGGAATGCATCGTTGACACTTTCTCTTCTATCGTTTAAGTTTTTTATGACCTTGTATAAAAAAGTGCTCTGGGATTCTCTGTTAGTTGTTAGATGATCAAATCAGCGAGGTTATCAAGTAATACCATGCCAGAATGACATAACGTAACAGTCGACACAATATGACAGCTGACATGACAGTTGACATGAAAGCCGACAAGACATGACAACCAACACGGAAGTTAAAGCTAAAGGAAGGACAACAATCATGGAAAGTATGACGATCCACATCAGAACGAACACAGGACGTCATATGAAAAAATACCAAAAGTCATCAAGTAATGTTTCTGAGAGTCGTGCAAAACATCAATAATTGGAAGGATGTTGAGCATTAAGGACATGGTTTGCATTAAGCATTACGGACATGGTTTGCAAAGTATAGTATATTCATCTTTATGATCTACACTTTTCTATTAATTTTACATGTTCAGTAATTCTAATTTGTAATTTCCTATACCACTTTGTCTATTTTTATAGCAGTATCTTACATTTTCTGAACTTTTCAAATGTAACTTGAGGATCACAGCTATGAACCTTCAAAGCGTGTGGAAAATATAATTTGTTGCATCCAGAGGCAACGGAGGCCTTCCAGAACCAAAATGATCCTGGATGGTCATGAGTTGGGATAGCTTTGACAAATAAAATATCCAGGTGCCTGCATTGATAGAAAGCTGACCTGGGCCCAGCAAATTGAACCGCAATTTCCAAATGTCAAACAAGCCAATGGAGCCCTCTGTATCCATTTCTAAACAGACGAAGTTAATTGAGTTTTAAACAAAAAATTATTGCTACTCGTGGGACCAAGCAAAAATGAAAAAAAGGGAAAAGACGAAAAAAAGGACCGAGGGAACACCCAAGTTCCAAAGAGAGGGAATCCTTCAGGTAACCTCGTCCCAACCAGAGGGTACCTCACAGGGTCCCTCTCTCATGCTAGAAAAAACTCACAGATGACACTCTTGCCCCCTCGTTTCAACTTCTGGAATCAAACAGGGATCGGATGCTACAAAGATCAGCTCTTCGGAGCTCTCGCATACCACTCCTACTGAGGACACACCACTGGTGACCTCAGAAAATACCCCAACAGCAAAGGACTCCCACGAGCCTCCTGATCTTCTTTTTTACCAACTACTACCACCCTTCTCTAACTCTCCTCAAAATCCTCTAGATAATGCCAAGGAACGTCAATGAACCCTGGGTGAAAGAACAGCAGCAGTCTATACAGTTGACTGTGGTTAAAAATCCCAATGTTTGTGATGCAGAGAGAGGGACGACTGGAACCCAGGATTGTCCGTCTCAGAAATCGTCCACCTCTGACTCACACAGAGGATCGTCCAGGAGCCTCTGGAAAAGACCCGACACTCGCCTCCAAGGCAGAACACCAGAATCCACACCATGGAAAACGAGGCAAGAATCCAAACATCCGGTAACCCTGGTCAATGGAGGGTGGACTCCTCCCAGATAACCACCGGGGACGAATCTATGCCGTTGGTCATGACTCGAGAGGTTCAAACTGACAAAGGATTCAGTGAGGATTCACTTCTGGAATTATGAAATGCTGTGAGGAAATCCAAACAGATATAGCAACCCAAGAGTTGAAGTCGAAAAGACTGTGGCCTGTGGCAGCTGCTAGTTATAGCTGCCAACTAATACTCTAAGGAGTGGCTTACTGAGGAGTTGGGAATGATAACACCTCAGAAAAATACCACTCTGGTGCTGATGGATTCCGCAAGGATAATAAAGCTTCACCGAACCATGCTACGTATCTCTGGGAGAAGGTCAGAAGACTGGAAAGGCAGAATCCAGGTATATCAGGATCTCCTTGGAAATTCTTGGGGAGAAAAAAAGAGGAACATGGGATTCGACCTATGGTAGGGCTGAACGAAGAGTCCATAAGGTTTCTTAACCAAATGAACTTCCAGCCGTATTATACAGCGCGTCGCACTCCTCTGTGAAAATTCTCGAGGGCTCCTGACAAAACGAAGAGTATCGAGGGAATACGACTCTGTGACGTCAGAGACTCAGTCGAGGCCGGTCCAAATTGGAAAAACCCCTAAAGGTACTCTCGAGATGGAAATCGGGACGGTGAAGCTTACAGTCTTGGCGTTGGGAAACAGAGGAACCGAAGGCGACTCCCCAATACCCAAAAATCAGCGGAGGAACCTCTGAAGGAACCTCCAAGAATAAGTATAAGCAATATTTCTCATCATGATAATTCTTTACTCAAAAATAATGAAGGATTTTCAATCAGTAGTTTTTGAAATATGGGTTGACCGAATTTCTTCATAATCAATTATATGTCCAAAAATACGAATTGATATTTTTATCGAATTGATGAAGAAACATTGCCTACTTATTCATTTTTATTATTTTCTTCAGACGCATTGTATATTTGAAAGATAAGAATCTGTATAGATATATTCGACGTTTTCCTCAATAATAATTCATCATTAGTACTTTCCAAAAATACCATTGTTTTTCAAAATTGATCAGATGATCACGATTCTGCAGTGGTGTTAACTTGTTAACGTGGACACACTATTCATAGATTCAAGTAGCCATGGTAGGGATAAGGTAACAATGAAGTAGTGAACATAACTTATCTGTATGGAACTTTTTTATTTCAATCAATCATGGTGAAATGTTCATTTACAAAGATGTGCCATTCGAAAATGATGGATGATTCCAAACAAATGAATTCTAACTTTATATTTTGGTTCAAGAAGTCTGACTATCAGAAAAATGCCTCATGTCACACGTCTTCATTCTCAGTTTTCAACTGTACTACGGTTCCTCTTCCCTGCATCAGTCTCTAGACAATTTGCCTTATTCTTACTGATATTTTCATTGCGGCTGAGTTAGCTAAAAGCAGAGACAGCGCATGACTATGTAGCAGGGACAAATCAATGTAGACTGGTTCAGTAGAATACTTGATTATGCGTTATATTTTGTGCCGGTGGACTGGCTTCTGAGTCCCATATTATGCCAGTGATTTTCTTCTAGGACTATATAGGAAATTGATATCGTGATTATGAAAGTTGTGATGATCCAAATTTTTTGATTTTCAGTATTGGAGAGAGGTTCTCGACTTGAATTTTGATTGGAATATCATATCTGTTACACGTCCGAATATAATAATAATAATGATAATAATAATGAAAATCGTCTTTATTATTTTCGAATGGATTTATACATACATAATATATGATTGTAAAAAATACATAGATATGTTTGAAAATAAAGGGCGAAGTTTATTTTTGATTGGGTACTAGAAACAAACCAAAAATATTTTTCCACCTAACCCGAAATAGAGACGTGTTTGATGTTGATACCTTCAAAGATGTAATTGAAACTAATTAGTTATCGCAAATGCACCTCTCACAGAATTCTGTATCGCTAAACTAGGAAAAATCAATGTTGCTATGCACACAGCATGATGGATAATGAATCCTATATAAGATATGTTCACGTACCTATATATGCGCAAAACACGAGCACTGATGAAATTCAAAATTATATGAATCTTCTAATGTTGATAATTCAAAAGATGTATCTTAAAGTTTTTTTTTTTAATTTTTTGACACCTAAAGCTTTTTAGTTCTGATGAGATCGAGTTGTAATAGTTGTATACCTGGTAACTGAAGGAGCGTCTGAACATTTCTGTTTTGAAGGGAGGGACCCTCAGTAACCCCCTATTCCTCACATTTATGTTGTGTACATCAGTGCGATAGATGATTTTACGATGCAAATATGGAGGTTCTTTATTCACGATTACGCTATGACATAGATCAGCAAGGTGTTGCTTCCTCCCGTTCTCCATATTCAGCCATCCAATTTCCTTCAGTTTATGCGAGATTCTTTCTCGTCTCCTCACTCCAAAAATTAGACGTAGACATGAATTCTGAACTTTCTGAATTTTGTTTCTGTATCGGACAGTTAAGTCAGGTCCATACAGAGCATCCGCATAGTTGAAGACAAAACTAATGATTCACAAAGTACTTTTTTTATTTTCATAGGAAATAGGTGTCGGTTACAAAGATCATATGTTCCATGCACGAAGAGGAGATGAATAGCAGTCGATATATCGAGATGGAAGACCATAATCTATACTGTACATTCATTATAATAATTGATGAGTTTGAAATACATATACCAATTGGTCACATGAAACTGTATCAATAATTAACCTCGAATAATTTTTTGATAGAATAACTTCAGATTATGTCCCTTGCGAAAAAAAACTATGATATATATGGCAGATAATCAGACTTGATGGTTTCAGCAGCTTTTTCTGCGATCATAATAATTGTTCCGACTGGATGACCACCCATACTAGTAGGCAGAACACTTGAATCTGCGACTCTCAACTTCCTCACCCCAAACACCCTGAGACGAGAGTCCACAATCGCCCCTTCACTCGGATCTGCACCCATAGGACAAGTACCTCTGCAATGGAAGGACGCTGTGCAGGTTTGCCTCAGGAAACAGTACCAGTATTCTCTGGACATGAACTGCTGATCCTCACAGCCAGGCAAGGGGCTGCCTCTGTACTCGGGGTTGATTTTCTGGAACGATGGCGTTCGTAGCAAGTCGAATACCCTATTGATA